CACCTAACTTTTAAAATTGTGCTCATTTAATCACTAAACTTTTATTTTTATTTTTAAATTTTAGTGACTAAATGAGCATAGTTTTAAAAGTTAGGTAACTAAATAAGCACAAATCTAAAAGTTAAGTGACTAAATGTGACCAAACCAAAAATTAAGTGACTAAATGAGCACAAAGTCGAAAGTTTGATGACCTATTAAAACTGAAAAATAGTTAAGTGACCAAATGAGCACAAAACCAAAAGTTAAGTGACCAAAAATGACCTAAACCCTCATTTAGTAACCATGATTTTGAAATATTTGCATAAAAATATTAGTTTTGTATCTTCAGATGAACAAAAACTTTTGTTTAGTGAACCTAATTGGCATAAAATGTTTGTTTACTAACATATTTTTTTGGTAAATCTATTGAGATTTTAGTATATTTATTATTGAGTAAATTACACGAATGGTTCCTATGGTTTGGGGTAATTTGCACGTTTGGTCCCTAACTTATTTTTTTAACTCGGAAGATCCCTACTGTTTGTTTTTGTTGCGCGCTTGGTTCCTGTCTTACCTAAAAAGACTATTTTGCCCTTGATTTTTTAATTTATTTAAATAAACGCACCCCAACCCTACTTCCACCTCACCTTACCTTACATATCCCACTTTATTTAAATAAATTAAAAAATCAAGGGCAAAATAGTCTTTTTAGGTAAGACAGGAACCAAGCACGCAACAAAAACAAACAGTAGGGACCTTCCGAGTTAAAAAAATAAGTTAGGGACCTAACTTGTAAATAACCACAAACCATAGGGACCATTCGTGTAATTTACTCTTTATTATTTAATGTTAGAATTAGATATTTTGTTGTGTATTTGCAGATGCCATTTTGTGTGGTAGTAGGGTGGATGATTGGGAGTCCAATGGATCTAAATTTTCAACTTTTTGAGACATCAATTCTTTTTATGACTGTTCTAGTAGTAGCCTTCATGTTACAGGTTTGACTTTTTAGTTGACTTGGACTTTGACTTTTTTCATTTCCAACTCATTCTTAAAATAAAATTAAAAACATTGTTCGCTTTCACCCCATGAAAATTACAACGTTTTTAGTTTTTACGGAAAATGTTTGACTATTTGAACTCTTTAAACTTTAAATTTTTGTACAAATCGACTCAAATTTTGCACATTTTTTTTTAAAAAATGTAGGAGGGAACATCGAATTACTTCAAGGGATTAATGTTGTTGTTTTGTTATATGATTGTGGCTGCGAGTTTCTTTGTACATATAGATCCTGTATCTATACGTGAGTTGTCACTCCTTTTTGTATCTTTATGCCACTTAGGATTGTTTTGGAGTTTTTTTTTACTCAATTGATTTGGTTTTGCAGAAGATAACCCTCAATATCCGTAGTTTTAGGATTACATAATCACATCCAATATTATATAATATCTGAAGAATAATTATTTGGAACTCCATTGATGAAATCATGAAGATTGAAGATTTTTCCATGAACTTAGTTTGATTCAAGTTATATAGTGTAGTTAATGTGATGATTTTAGTATTACAAGTTACAACACATGTTTTTAGTGGGTACATCTTCGCTTATACAACATTATGATGTAAATTATCTGGGTTTTACATAGTTATTAAAATCTTTGTTAAGTAACCTATGTAAATTTATTTTTAAAAATATTACAATAAGGTCCTCATCTTTGTCCGTATATTTATATAAGACACATAACATATTGTCTATCAGACCTTGAACGTTTAACTTATGGTTGAGTGACAAACTTGTTTTATTTAAAAGATTTAATTACTATCATAATGCTATGATTTTTGTAATAAACTTGAAACTATTTGTAAAGTCAAAAAATATCTATAGTTCAAATCAACTATGATTTACTAATTCCTTGTGCCACCAATAGCACTTATTATGGAATTCTCTTAGGTGCTGTTTGTTTTTTCGAAGCGAAAATTCATGAAGTCTGCAGATCACCTCTGCAATTCTCTGTAGCAGAAGAGGTGGAACAAACGGCTGCAGCCTATAATAAGAAGCATGTTTGTTTTTTAACATCTGCAAACTGCTGCGGTAAACTAAAATTTAAATAAACTAATTTTATAAACTGAAATAATTCTCAACATTGAAATTTAATAATTCTAGTCTTAAAACATTGAAATAATAATAACAATAACATGTAAAAAACAAAAATATAAAACTTTAAAAAAAAAAAAACATAAAAAAATGTAAAAGAAGCTAATAGTTTTATTCTAGAAAAAAAAACTAATTTAAAAAAAGCATTAAAAAAGAAAAAAAAAAAAAATTTAAGAAAGTATTGCAAACGTTGTCTACAAAGTTCGTAAAAAATTACACACGTTAAAAAAATGTAACTGAAATTGAAAATATTATTAATAAAACGGTAAAAAAATTAAAAAAAAAAGGAACAAATTAAAAAAATTGTAGAAATTATAAAAATAAATTGTATCACATCCGTAAATAAAAATTTAAGAAAATCAAAGTTTAAAAAAAAAGAAATTAAAAAAAAAGTTATACAAAAATTCTTAAAAAAACACTTAGAAAAAATGAAAGTTGAAGAGGTTAGAAGAGGCAAGTCAAGTGCTGCGCCACGCAGCACACGCGCAGAGGTTTTGTAGTCTGAAGTCTTCCAAAAAACAAACTGCTGCGAGAGGGAAAGTGCTGCGCGTGTGCTGCGCCGCGCAACAATAAGTGGTTTGAAGAAGTTTTTATAGAAAAACAAACAGCACCTTACTTACCTCAACAAATACTGCAACCTAAAATATAAAAATGGTATATATTAATTTTCGGGAATATTACACCAAAACCTTTAAATTTATCAAAAAGTATGGTTTTAGTCTATAATCAATTTTTGGTGTGTTATAACCCCTAAATTTTCTATATTTTTTTAACATATATTTCATTTAGTAGGTTTTGAAATCTATAATCAGTTACCATGACACATGGCTACCACGTTAGCAAATAGCAGTTGATTTGTCGCAACTCTTAGGCTATACGAAATGGTTTACAAAACCATTATCATGAAGGTGTGCCACATTACTTAAAAAGTCAACTACTTGCAACTTACTAGCTATAGGAAATGATGTTCATATGAAGTTACTAGTGAGTTTTAAGGGGAGAAGAGGAGTGAGATAGAGACAAAGAAAAAAAAGATTGTGGTCTCTAGTAGCTGCACTCACGGAGTATTAGAATCACAAATTTTAAGGGTGGTGTTTGGAGGTAAGTCACTTGTGACTTGAGGGTGCCAAGTCACCTAACGCGTTAAATGGCCAAGCATTTCGTATAGCCTTAATGGTTGTCATGGTTGTTAGCTTCTTGAATTTTAACCCTCTCACATTTACATTTTATGTTCTCCACCTTGACCATTTGTCTTTTACATGTCGATGTAGAAGCGAACATCTCGTGCCTCTCCTCATTTTTCCTTCTCACCACCAATTAGAATATCACTGCTACTTCCTCACCGTTGATTAAAACATATCCTCACCACATACCTCCCCTTTATCCCACCTCTCTTCATCAAAAGGATTCAAGAAGTAAGTTTTAAAAGGGTTGAACGCTTTTTTTTTCAAAACGGTTCAAGAATTAGGTTTTAGATGACAAACTCTTCAAATCGTAGGTAAATCATAGACTTGTGTATTTGTTTTGGTTATTAGAACTCTTTCGAAAATTCCAAAGAGTTTTGATGATAATTCAAAGCATAAAAGATAAGATTTTTTTACAGTGATTTAATACACAAAATGCTAACCAAATTATATATTAAATACTTAAACCAAAATTACATATTTCAAAAAAAAAAAAAAAAAAAAAAAAAAAATTCTAACCTTTCACCCTTCCTTCAAATGGTCTAGCATGGCCTTCCTTCTCTATAATATCTAATCAATCACTTCCATCAAATTAATCAAACTAATAAGGATCTATGCATCATTCGGTACCATTGTGTAAGATACCTTGTGACGCATGGTGGGAGGCCACTTAGTTGGTCTAGCATTATTATTTTCTCCTCAAACCATATAAAGATTTCATATGTCCATAGCCATAACAACTTTCTTATTCTCATTGTCTTTCCACATGTTGTGTTTGATTCTTAAACTTAGGTGGTCATGTGTTGATTCGTTGGAGTTTATAGACATCGAGTAATAACCATAGTGGCATGAAGTATTTTCAATGGTGGAAGTGATCGAAGAAGGATGAATTGCCTGTATTTTACAAATAAAGAGAGGAGCGCGGGGTAGGTGTGGGTTCCATCATTTTTTATATAATAAAACTTCAAATTAAATAGGAAAAAGTATAAAAAAGTATCATAAGGATGTTGGTCATTTTAGTTTGGGGAGACACCAAAACCACAATGAAACTTGTTGAAAATGATAGAATTTGCAAATTTAAAACCCTACTAATCAAAACCACAAAACCCAGAAAACCATAGGGATCAAATTTGCAGTTTTCTCTATACTAGATGTTTGCAAATCCACAAAGACGAATATATTTTTTGGCAAATAATTTCTTACGGAAAAATAATTATTAGAATTTTGATTATTCCTTATTATGTAATAAAAAACTACCACTTTTAAATAAAATATATATGTTATACCTTATGTTTATTGTTTGTGTATACTATTGATGTAAATCAGTTAATATTGGTCTCTAGTTTAAGAAATATAAATAAATTTGTATACATGAATTTAATATTTTAAAGTTTTCATTTACTCTAGAATTTCTCAATTATTTTCTTTAATTCAAGTCTTTGCATTTTTGGCAAGTATTTATGAACTATTTTTACATATACCAAAAAATTTATAATTTATACCTCTTCAAATTCAATATATAACTAATATTCCTTATAATAATATAATATAATATAAGAATATTTGGGGCAAAAGTTGTAAACTCTAATTAGTACAAGGGGTATGAGAATACAACTTAAGAAACGGCTACGATCGCTCCTGGCAAAATAAATATCGACTTTGGAGCTGTCAATTGTTTTGGTAGTGCTCAGCAATAACCAAACCCTAACACAAACACGTCACCATATCTTCTCTCCTGCCAGTTATCTATCGTGATTTTGGCTAAATCAGTCGTACCTTATCGCGATTTTGTTTGGCAAAGGGCTTTGAATGTAGTAGGACGATTATCGAATTCGAACGATAATGGTTTGTTCTCGCACTTTTACGATTCACTCTATTTACTGTTTTTCGTTTTACAGACAACAGCAACGTTGATTTGTTTCTTGTTTATCCATATTCCATTCTGAATTTTAATTGTTTCATGTGTATTTTTCCATGAATGAATCTCTCATGAATGCGATCTGATTTGGGTTAATTTAAAGTTTCTGCTATTTCTGATCCGAATTGCCGGTGTACAGCTTTTCCGTTTATAAAGGAAGATCAAGGACGATGGTTTGATTAATCGATATAAGATCCGGAAAATATAGAGTAGCTGTCTCCTCTAAAATGGCGAAATGCAAAATAACTGATATGAGGTTTTGTTTTTCAGAGCTCTAGAGGGGGACGAGAGAGACAGTGGAAGGAATACCCTTTGAGACCAGAAGAGAAAATTCATCATGGAAGAAACACTGTTCCTCCTTCAAGACACCTGTGGGTTGGGAATCTATCTCATACCTTAACTGAACGTGCATTGAGCAATCACTTTAGACAATTTGGGGAGCTTGAGAGTGTAGCTTTTTCACCTGGTCGTAGCTACGCCTTCATCAATTTCATTGAAGCCAGTGCAGCTTTTGCAGCATTTGGAGCACTTCAAGGTTTCATTCTTGCGGGCAATGCACTTAGAATTGAGTTTGCAAAGGCGGTTAGTTTTGTCCACCCATGTCTGCTTTTTTCTTTCTGTATATGTACACTCTTACACTTGAGCAATATCTGCTTAAGTCTTAAACTAGTTGCTTATTTTTGGAAATCGAAACTGATGCTAACTCATGCCCATTCAAGCAATTTTGTGATTACCACTTCTGTCATTCTATTCAAAACCATTTTTAGTTCTGGTTTCAGCTTTTAGTTTGATATTTCCCATCTTATCCACCATTTTATCACATATGAATCGAATTGTCATGCATGCAAAATGGTTCTAGAGACTTAACAAATTAGTTAAACCTGCTTAAAGCTATCAACAACTACACCTAATGCCTCAATTCCCTTAAGGAAACCTTGCTTGAAGCTAGTTCACATATATATTAAATTCAAGATTGGTTACAACGATTATAGGGTTTATGTATATTCTACTTCCGATTGCTCTACATCTTAGATTTATTAAGAGAATCAAATTCCTCAAGCATAAACCATACATGTCATGACATAATCACCTGCAGTTAATGTCCATTGCTAACATTCTCTCGTTGCTATTGCTCTAACATTGTTAAGGGGAAGATCAGTTAATCCTCATTCTACAAGATGATCAACACTCAACCAAAACTCATTTTTATGTATATCTCCTCATGCACATAAGTATTGACAATTATGTTCTACTGTCTTTGGATGCCAGTTGCAGATTCTACACCACCATTAGGCCATTTGAGATGTAGTTTATACTTTATACCAGCTATCCAATGATTACCAGATGAATTTAAAAAGTATACACACCATACATACATGGAAAATGATATCTCATGATCAAAATGCTAAGTAGATGTAGATTAAAACAAGGTTAACCATTGGCTTCTATTCTAAATTTCTAATATATCAGAACTACATAATTACATACTGTAAACAATGTGGATGATTATAAGGTCATAACTCTTGAAAATACTACTTCCCTAATGAGCCCTATCCTATTACAAACTACAAATTACTAAGTGAACTAGTGCAAGGTGAGTCTTAATTGAAAACAGAGCAAACTCTTCAAGTCTTTTGATTCTATAAGATATTCATTTTCCAAGTGAGATCAATTTTATATGTCAAGCTGAATATATTATGCCTAAGAAAATTCATTTTCTAGGTTTTCTTGCATTGAATGATAATGTCAAAAACTTAAAACCCATAACACAGTTACTAGACAACTATTGCAAGAATGTGGTGCACTTCCATTAGGGTTCATTCAATTTAGCAATTCAAGCATTTCTTTTCTATATGCCAAAATTACATCATTATGGCTACTCAATATCATTTGCTCAAACTTGATGTTATGCTATGAAGATACAAGCCTTCCATGAGCACACAAGGTTACCCATATCATCAAATTAACATTACTTCCCAATTTCTCCTTCATGTGGTATATGCAACTCATCTTCAATCTCAGATATAAGACATCATTAAGTTATGTAATATAAAACTAAATAAAGCACGTGAATATGATAAAAATATTATTGCCATGATTGAAATTGAAGCTATAAGTTTGTGGAAAGTTGATGATTCTTGCATCTAACATATATATCAGGAGAAATCATCAGCACAATTACACGAAGAAGACGACTACATACGCAGACGAGATTCACCTCGTTCTTCAGTAAGAGAATCTCCATTCCCTCATCGGGACTCTAGAATCCGCCATTCCAATTCCGACCCTAACAACGAGAATCAAAAGCCAATCAGTAGTGGTAGTAGAGCCGATGGAGAACCCAATGAAGTCTTATGGATCGGATTCCCACAATCTTTAAAACTAGACGAACACAGTTTCTGGGATGCCTTTTCCCCTTTTGGTGAAATTGAAAAAATCTCTTCGTATCCCGGTAGAACTTACGCTTTTGTCAGATACAAACATGTTAATTCCGCTATTAGGGCAAAAGATAATTTACAAGGGAAATTATTCGGAAACCCTAGGGTTCATATCACTTTTGCAAGAAGCGAATCAAGAGCACCACCTTCAAACACCGGAAAAAACTCGATTCCTGACCCTCCATCCCCCCGTTATGGCCGCCAACATGATCGATACCATGATGAACGCAAAAGAAGATCACCATTACCGGGTCGGAATCATGGATTCCGAGATACGGGACATGATGGTTACGGACGCCGGAGTCCTTCAAGGGATAGAAATGTAAATTTCCATGATTTCCACACACCACGTCGAGGCCCGGTGTATGATGACGAATGGGATTTGCCGGAAGACGCGTTGATTTTTCATGGTGCGAAGAAACTGAAGGGCGGTCCGATTCCGATTCCGATTCCGGTTCCGGTTCCGTCGGAACCGGAGCTTCCGGAGTATCCGTTTTCCGATTCCGAACATGGGAAGAACGTCCTCTCGAGGCCACCGGGGTTTGATAATAATAACTTGGGACATTTTGGTTATCATAAACAGATGATTCATGATCCACCTATGAATGTTGCTCAACCTTATGGTGAGAGGGGAAACATACAAAATACACAAAATATCCAAAATACCCGAAATACCCTCAATGCAGGTTATGATGGTTTCCATGGTGGGCCGGTTTCTCAAAATGCCGTTGAATGGAAAAGACCAACTCCGGAACCACACATTCCAGCAAGTGGGGAATGGAAATGGGAAGGAATAATAGCAAAAGGAGGAACATCAATTTGTCGTGCTCGTTGCTTTCCTGTTGGAAAAGTACTTGACATGATTTTGTAAGTTTCAAATAAAACAAATTGTTCTCTGTATTGGACTACCATTAAAACTAATGTCAGTGGGACCAAAAATTGCAACTTTTTGTCCCAGCCAAAAAGCTGAAACATAAACATGACATGACATATGACAGACTGTAAGGAAAAGACGAAAATGCCCTTGAGAATGAATATCTTACACACACAAATACAATATACAATATAAATGAGTGACAGATAAAATTGGAAAAATAAATAAATTATTGACATGGAAATGCAGGCCTGAATTCTTGGATTGCACAGCCAGGACTAGTCTAGACATGCTGTCAAAACATTACTATCAAGCAGCAAGTTCATGGGTCGTATTCTTTGTGCCCGAAAGTGATGCTGACATGGCGTTCTACAACGAATTCATGAACTATTTAGGCGAGAAACAGCGTGCAGCTGTCGCCAAGCTGGACGACAAAACAACCTTATTTCTTGTCCCCCCTTCCGATTTCTCAGAAAAAATTCTAAAAGTCCCCGGAAAACTCAGCATCTCCGGCGTCATTCTCAGACTAGAACAACCACCCGCCACCGCCGACACCCTCCCACCACCACCACCACCGCCACATCAGCGCCAACCCGAAAGACCCGACCCGTATCTTATGTTGTCCCATGGAGAAGCTTCTAGAATGTCATTCACTGCAGCATCACCTTCCGGAAGCTATCAACTCCAAAACCTTGGGAAACCTAGACCTGGTACTGGTACTATGTCTGTACCACCATTTCATGTTGACAACAATACACAGACACAGGATCATTTGCTTCATAGACAATCAAGAAGTGGTGATTTTATGATTCCAAATAATCAGGAGACGACAAATTTGAGTAATAATTATAGACCTGGAAGTCCTACTTATCAGGAGCCTAAAACTCTAGTGGCAGCGACAGGTGGCATTGGCATTCAGCCAGATCAGCTTGCACAGCTGGCGTCGTTTCTTGGGAACGCAAGGCAATCAATGACAGCGGGAGAAGAGTTTAGGCAGCCGAGTAGTAATGTGATGATGGGTTTAGATAATAATAGTAATAGTAATAATAATGGTTATAATAATAATAATAGGATGACGCCACGTCAGCTTCCTTCGCCTAGTCCCAGTCAGCATCATCAGCATCAACATCAATATCATCCTCCTAATCCTAGTCAGCAGCAGCAGCAGATGATGAGTGGGTATCATCATCAACATCATCAACAACAAAAACAACATCAAGTGCAAGTGGGAAACATGGGTCATGGTCAAGGTCAAAGTCAAAGTCAAAGTAGTGGTAGTCAAGGTCAAGGAAATGGACAGGAGGAAACGGAGGAGGCGGATCCACAGAAACGGTTACAGGCGACTTTAGAGTTGGCTGCTACTCTACTCAAGCAAATCCAACAAGGGAAAACTTGAAAATAAATCGAGTTTTTATAATAATTGTTTATGTTAAATTGGATTAACGAGCATGTTTAATGGTAAAAAATGGTAATGCTTATGGATCACTGTTGTTTTTGTATGTGGGTTTAGATGCTAATTTCATGTTTAATAATGAGGATGATTCATGCTTGTTACCAAATAGATGTTAATGTGATGTTTAATAAAGAAACAACGATTTCGTAGTAAAATAAGTATCTAAATTTCTAAATCATAAGAAATTAAATCACTATGAAGTTGTTTCATACGCTACAAAATCCGGAAATTGATACATTAAGTCATAAAAATGAGGCCCTATGAATACAATCATGAAAATACTTTGAAATGTTGATATTATTTTAGATCCGTTTATTCTATTGTTTTCAGTTATGTAACACGTTTATTCTATTGTTTTCAGTTATGTAACACATGTATCATCGTTTTAAATTTCTCTACAATGATTGTGAATTACTGAATCAATATGAGAATTTAAATCATAAAAAAGCATTGGGAAATTGTTCTCATCCACTACTATACTCGTCCGAAGTTCCAACTGACAGTTCAGTAAGAAATTTATAAAAAAATATATATAACTTGTAAGAATACGATTTGTTCCCCACTGGAAAATATACGGTTTTGAAATTTGACATGATAAAATCTTTCTAAGGTTTTGAAATCGAAAGTGATATTTCTACTTAATAATATGATCTATCTACATACAACATCTTTGCAACTATCATACAAATCGGTAAAACATATATTTCAAGTGGATGAATCACTTTATCAAGTGGAAATATCATTTATCTTTTGAAAATAGAATCACAAATGTGAAAGGATAAATGCTGATTCACGCTTATGTTCTTTTTTAGAAAAAAAAATGATCATTTGTTAACTGGTTCCATCCAAGGCTAACGTGGGCTTAATATGTGCTTAGTTAATTAGTTTGATAGTTTCGATTAAGTATCGGTTAAAAACACTTAATCCGAGGCTAATCACATCAATCAATAAATTATAAACGAATAGTTCATAACTCGTGGGAACCACGGTTACAAAATTAATTAAACTTTAATAGTATAAACTCAAAAATATTAATCACTTATTTTAAATAAATTATTAATTAAGAGATTTTTTTAGTTAGATAAATTTATAATCATTGATTTAAATAAATATATAAAATTATATCACTTTGTAATTTGTATTAACTTTATTTTAATTCTTATTTTAATGTTATTAATTTAATGTAATTAGAGTGACGAATTTAAAATTTAAAATTTGAAATAGAAAATCAGTAAGTTGACAAGTAACATGCATTAATTAGGAGAGATAATAGAGTGACATACACAAAAAAAAATGCATTAATATGGTGATACATGTCAAAAGGAAAATAAAATTATTCTTTTATTAGAATATGAATGATGGTTACAAATATAAATCCTAGGCTAATTAGACAATAACTCTAATAATCTAATTGTGAATGAATCGGACATGTAATAATTCTTAAGAGATTAAATAAGTTTTTTTTTCCCTCTCATTTTTATATTGAATTTCACCAAAAATGAAAATGACTCATTTAATTTGAATAAATTATTACTTTTATAACAATAAAAGATCTTTCTAAGTGTAATGATTAGAAATCTTATTGATTATAATAAATCAACATAACTTAATACTTACACATATTAATTACACTGATTGTAGAACAAATATTAATATTATGAATTTGATTATTTCGTATAAAAGACCTGAAGTAGCAAAACTTTAGGTAAAAATAGTAATTAAGGCAATTATTAATGCTAGGACCTGCTCCATTATCATCATCCGCTCACAGTTGGCGAAGGCCGCCAATATCTTGGGAGTCCAACTTCATCATGGAAGCATATATAATCACAAGAGAGGAACGAATCAATCGCATCAACCATCTCCTCCAAATGGCTCGAGGTGGAACCACATTGGGATCAAACGCTCCAACGAACACTGCCTTACGCAACATCTCTTTACCATACTCATCACCGATAGCAAAGCATATATTCTTGATACGACCCACACCCTGCAAAAAATATGGAAGTTCGATAACTTTGTCAACAATTCTAACAATTCCATCCCTGACAAGCCAACCCAGGTCATTCCTAAGGCGAGACAACTCCGCCTCACGATCAAGCCGCAATTTTTCTTTATCCAACAACTCTTTCTCCAAACTCTCCACCTGGATGCTCAAGGCCTCATTTTGCTGGAAGGTGTCATCAAGCTTCGCGTCCACATGAGCACAACACTCCTCAAGGGTCATTTTCTTGTCGGTCAACAACTCCAATTGTTGGCGAGAAGACTCCATCGAAGATTCTAGAGAAACAACATGTTGTTGAAGACCCCTCTCATTCACCCGAAGCTTGACAGCCACACTTTTAAGACGTCGTATGCAGCAAGCCCCGACAGTAAGGAAAAAGGCGCTTTGAGCAGTAGCAAATTCCATGAAATCAATTGTTTAATCATCAATAAAGGCTTTTATCTTAGAAACAGTTCCCTTAGGAAAAACATGGTGTGAGAACTCAACAACAACCTCTTGTTGGGAGAGGCAAGATTCATCATTGAGGTTCCATTTAGGGATGAAAAGATTGTTGAAAGAAAGATTCTTGCCTTGGAAACTGGCAATAAGATCATCATAGTCAGACAAGAGATTTGCTTCGATGGACTGGCGGTGACCCTGTAGGGCCTTCTTCGATGGAATCCTTGTTCATAATGGGCTGTTTAGACGCCCCTTGTATCCCTTCAGATTGGTGTGTGTCGTTATCAAGGATACTTATTACCTCTTCACTAGAGGGCATCAAAGTGGCAACAAAATTGGTGGCAAGCTTGCGTAAGCGACAACATTTAGCAATGGGTTTCCCTTTTTTCGCGTCAAAAAGAGTCGCGACACTCAAAAACCCTCTATTCTTCATCAGGACGTCGCGCCCACCAGAATCCCCTCTTTGTTATCTTGTGTAACGACCCGCATTTATTCCCGTCAACAATTTGCTTCCGTTAGATGAATATTATTTCATAGGATTATTTCAGTTTAATGTTATATAATGAAATAAATTTAAAAAATGATGATAACTAATACTTAAAAGAATTAATCAAAATTAAAAAGGTGTGTAATTTAATTAAATTGAGTTACGAAATTATTAGGATGAATATAATTCATTTGAAAGGTTTAAATGGAATTGAGGGGCTAAAATTGTCATTAAAGAAACTTAAATTGTCAAGGTGTATAGGGTTAGGTTGGAAGGGGTAAAAAGCCAAATCTTGAGGGATCAATTGTTGAAATTCGGCTGTAACCTCCAAGGAATCAGATCGTTCCTTCTTCACTTTCGTTTTTCTTCAAGTACGCTTTAGGAGGTTGTAAAAAATTGATTCCCTTTGGTTGCTATTGTTTGTGTCGATTAGCAAGAAGAAAAAAAATGCACGATTAGGAGGGTGGAGGAGGCTACGAACCAAGAAGAGAAAAGGGAAAAGGAAGGGGCGGTCATTGACGATCGTTCAAGGGGTTTTGAAGTTGTGAAATCGATCTAATAAGGATTGGGGAAAGGGTGATACTTCAACTCTTACAAGACTTGAAGTGTGAGGAGGACACATCTTTGACAAAGGTGAGTTAATCTGGTGGATTTTTAAAGTACTTTGTCAGGGAATTCCATATCTTATAGGGATTCGAATGAACCTAGGCTATTAAGGTTGCATGTGCCCCTATTGTGTGTGATATGATATTGGTTGTTATGCTTCTTTATGCGTATGAGAATTTAGGATGCTATATGCTAGATTCTTATTCTTTTTTATATAAGAGGTGTGTTACGACCATGATAGAAAGAGTGTCTTGTGTTGATTTTAAGTGATGTATTCATGCCATTGTTACTTGGAAACCCTTGTCTATGATTATTAGGACAGAGCATGCTAGTGATGTTGTCAAGCCATAATGATGATATGTGCATTAACTTGTATGCGATGTAAAATGTTTTAACTTGTATTTATTTATTTGCATGTTTACATGAGAAGTAATATGCTAGAAAAAGATGTTAATAAATATGCATGATTACTTAGGGAGGTTAAAGGTGTAATTCCTTAAAAGATGAATTAATAACAAATTAATTAAAAGGGGAATACACTAGCAGGGCTAAGGGTAGTTTTGGCTCCATGAGGAAAGTCAATTAGGGTTGGCTCATCGGGGAAGCCAACTAAGGTTGGCTCTATGAGGAAAGCCAATAAGTGTTGGCTCTACGAGGATAGCCAAGTAGTGTCGGCTCAACGAGGAAATCCAACATAAACATCATGTGGGATCCGGGAGGTGTAAAACGGTGGAATTGGCACCACTTGAACTGAACCCTAACGACAACGCATGTACTAATATATGCAACGTCGGAGTAGCGAACGCAGTGAACCAGGAGCAATGTTACGGATGAGAGTTGCACCTCATTTAATGCATTGGGTCTTGTTGGTCACGTTAGTAGTCAATGGATACTTACCATGGGGTTACAAATGAATATATAGACCCATTAATAGGAAGTATCATAATAACAATTACAAAGATGATTAAGAGGAGAAGAATTGTTAATGATGAAAATGAATATTAATATTATTTTATAATATTATAGCGATGTATGAAGTAATAACTAATTACAAAGATGAACAATGAAAAATAAATAAAAGGCTCTAATGATGAATTATATTAATGATATTCACTGTGATGTTTGTGATGTAAGTGGTGTATGTGACGTAACTACGTAAAGTAATGTATGTGATGATTATACGATGTCATGTGCACGAAAGTACCCATTAATTTTAATATTTATAACCTAACAAACTTAGACTAACTATGCACTTATAGGCAGTGTATCCAGTCAGATTACAGTATAACTTAGGTAAGTCGGGTGTCGATCACAGGGAACGGTGGATTAATTTAATATATTTGATTATAGGTTACAGGTCACACAAAAAGAATAAAATAAATAGTTTAATAAATCTTAAATAATTAATTAACAACTCTCGATAAACTAACAGGAAAACAAATCTCTTCAGGTACTTTGGTTTAGACAAGTTACACCTTAAAAACATAGACAATTGCATACACAAAGTCATTTATTCATGTTCACCGACTCCTAAAATGATTAGATTCGCATTCACTATAACTAATCCTTTAGCAAACAAGTCAATTCAAACAGTGATCAATTGGTTAAACTAACATGCTTCCTAGTGTTCAGGTCGTATCAAGCAAGACTTGTAAATATAGTTAATCAAATTAGGCATTCAATTAACCTCTTGTTGATGGTCATCAAACAAGGCTCACACATTAACTTACTTATTCCCATGTTAATCCTAGTTTCACATTCGTTATTCCTAGACTTATAATCTCGATGGTCATCAAAATCATAAGAGACAAGCAATCAAGCATATGTTCATACAACTCAATTCACTTAACAATTAACAGCAAATAATTATCATTAATACGTAAGGATCTTTTAACAAGCTTGGCAAGATAAATTAAACACAAACAAACTATTCAATATAGCAATTAGTCTAATAATCAAAGCTTCATTCAATCATAAACACAAAGTAAAAGGTTTTTACACCCAAGTCAGAAACTAAATACAGAATAGTAACACAATGGAATGCTAAACATGGTCACGTTAACAGCCCATATGATTACCGACACGTATCCGCTCTCCAACCCTTCCGATCTCCGCTCCCGTTAGCTTAACGGCCTTCCGGCCGCCTTCTAGACCCTCAAAACGGCTTAACAGAAGTTAATTATCGACTAAATTAGGTTAGAAGTCGAATCTCCCCTCCTGGTTAGCTGAAAATCGACTTTTATAGCCTTTGTAGCCGACTTACGTACGTTGGGCGTACATAGGATTACGCGGGGCGTACAAAGGATCACTACGCGATTGAACTTATCCGAAGCCAACCAGTACGCGGGGCGCACCCTTTAATTACGCGAGGCGTACTGTGATTTTGGGCACTACGCTGGGCGTAATGCGAAGTTACGCGGGGCGTAATCCACTCCTTCAGCATTTTTAATTTCTTTTAGCTCCTAAGTCCGGTTTCCGCTTCAATCTTTTCTTTTGTGCTTGATTGACAACGAATAGCTGCAAAACATAATTCAAAGTATTATGAGTACTTTTTAGTTCTAAAATAGAATAAATAAGGCCAAAATATTAAGATAAAGTGCATAAAAATATATATAAAAATACACATATCAAAATACCCCACACTTAGCCTTTGCTTGCCCGCAAGAAAATTTACTTTTATTTTACCAATATTGCACTAAACAATCCATTTAAAACTCAGCCATTATGCCAAGACCTCAACGCATGCATTTGTGTCTAAAATTTTCCTAAAGTACCCCCCATACTTTAAATACTCACAATCTTCATAAACACTTGCCCACTTTTTCCGAACAATGCTCATTTTATGCAACCCTCCGAATCCATCCGCAGAAAACCTCCTAACCTCAAGGTATTTTTAGTTGAGCAACCTAAGCATACATAATCTAGAATTACAATTTATGATACCACTATGGAGCTTTTTAGGAATTCTTCACTTTCTTAACAATTTGATCTTTGATTTCTTTGAATTCACCACCTTATTTGATTTGATTTCTTGGTATCTTCAACTTTTTGAATTTCTTGAAATTTTGATCTTTTGATCTTCACTTTATTTGCTCCAAAATTCTTCAAACTTTTTCGTAATTCTCTCTTTTTTTTTACATGTACCTCTCTTTTTTCACTCAAAACCTACATGCTTAAGCAGAGGCGCTCAACCTCAACCTTTATTGGTTAATGATAATAATTTTCCTGGATACATTTCAGGTTTAGGCTGCTAAACATATTGCATCCTTCAAACCGAGCGGGTTATGTTTTTGTTCCATGATTTCACTAAAATAAGGGAAGCCACAAATGCACTATAACGTATATTGGCTCAACTAAACATTTGAGTTCTCATCGGATCATCTCATACAATATTAGCAAAATTTTAAATTATCACTAGATTTTTCTAAATTAAACTATTATTTCAAGTTTTCTTTTAAATTTTTAAATTTCCCTAAATCTAGCAATTTCCAACTATTATTTCATTTTTATAATTTACTTTTACCGACCCCTACCCCACACTTATTTCATACAATGCCCTCATTGTATGCTAAAACAAATTAAGAACATAAAAAGGGAGAAAAAGGAACAGACTCCCCTGGGTAGTTGTGGCGAGATCGAATGGGGCTGCTACAGGTTGCTTCAAATATTGCTGAAAAACTGAAAACTGGAACTGCTGCTTCTGAATTTGCCGAAAAATAAAATCAAAACTGCCGACTTCAAAAATGTGGTGCAAAAGATCGCAAACAAATGCAATGTATAATAACCATGACGTGGGAAAGTGTCGACCACGTCGTCTCGTCAAGAATAACATCCTCTTTTCGCGATGAAAAATCCCCCACAACATAGGAAAGTG